ATTCGCGGAGAACCTAACGGGTTACCGGGGCTCCGGCTCGACGTGCAGGAGAAGGATCGGGATGGTTTTTAGTCAGTAAGAGACTGACACTCCCTCCCGCCTCACCCAGGCGGGAGCAGTCATTCGATGATTTTCCCCCCTTAAAAAAATTGAAAGTATAATTTTTGGTATTGTTCTTTTGTTTATTTGAACACTCTAATCGAAACTACTGACTCGATTTTAAAAATTAGTTTTGTCTTGAATTGACAATTTAAAGAAAGCTATACGCCATATATCATATCAAGATCCGATCAATAGGAACTGAGCAACGAGTGAACAGCTCTTAAAACCCTTTTATTTGATGATAAGAATGTATGGGAAACCGCTTCCATGTCACTGAGGAAATTACAGTTCCCAAGTCGGTTTTCATGTCAACTGCTTTTTATACTTCGCCATACACTCTCCATTACTAGGTACTATAATTTGCGGGTTCACAAAAAAATAATTATTCCCCTGCCTATTAGCTATGGTCAGAACTGATGGAAATAGAAAGTTAATACCACATGAAATAGGTAAATTTCTAATGGACGTACGTACTTACATACATATATGCATTTATTACCTTTTAGTTTTCTTACGAGATTTCTCCTGGTGTCATGATTTTTTTATGGGATAAGCCTGTAAACGAGCAGACGGATCATCTGATGGTAAGCAATCGGCATCGCCCATGGACTCATGGAACACCAGAGGCGTTACAAGTGCGTTACTGGCCTTTTGGGATTAGGAATTTGAAGATTGTTGGGGACTCGGGGATTGGGAAAGGGGGGGACGGGTAATTGGGCCTCCGGTAACCTCACTCACACGACGAAACACAACATAGGCATTGTTTCACGTCTGTCTTTTGTGAGGCGGTGGTATCACTCCGGTCGAGCCAGCCCGTTCGTGCCGAAGCATGGCTCGCCCACACTTAAATAAGTACTCACACACAAATGCTAAATAAGTATTGTCGATTTTTAAAGTAATAAATAAGGAAAGTAGTAAATAAGGAATGAAATTGTATCGTTATGATATTATGTTATAATTGTTATTTTCGGTTCGAATATCAGGTTTTGTAAATATAAGAAATTCACTAGCACACTTAACTAACAATCAATGACCGTCCAACATCACCAAAAATAATAAATAATAATTCGTCGTTTGTTTAACAATGCTGCTCATAACTATGAGCCCTTAGCGTAGCTTGAAATTAGTCGAGTCATCTCTTAAACAGTTAAAAGAGTAAGTCGTAAAACAGAAAAATTAACACAAATCTTAAAGCAACACTATCTGACAATGCATACTAAATACTATTGTATACAGTAACCTTCCATTCAACACTCCTACAACAAGTCCTATTTAAACAAGTACGTAGGTTAACTAAAAATCGTAGGTTATTCACGTGAAAATGCTGAGATAAACTCCACTAGTTTCGAACCACAGAGGGGTTCATCCCTAACTTACTATAGTAGTTGGGTGGGCTGCGCGACATCGCCGTGACCACACAAGCTGCTCATGAGGAAGAGCTCCTCAGTGGTTCGAAAGTACTAGAACTTTTCTAAGCATTTTCACGTGAGTAACCCGCGACTTTTAGTTAATTTAGTATATCTCACGATAGTTATTAAAAAAGTACGTAGGTAGCTATATCTACCTAAGTACAAATTATTCCTAGTATCATAACCATCATAGTTAGTGTTACGCCTCACAAAATTTACATAAGTACCACATATGAGTTAAAATGCTTGGCTAAATGACGCTGTAATTATAAAGCTACTGTTTGCAAATTACATGTTTTTTACCTTATTAGCAAACACTGTTTAGTTTGTATCGTGTATTTTTTTTGTATTAGTATTTCTTTGTTATTTGAATTGAGGTCATCTTTCGGTTTTGAAGGTTGTGTTTTGTTTTATTTATGTTTAGTATTAGGTTTGGTTACGTTATTACTAGATTGCTTGTAGAGTCGTCAACAGTGCTGAATTAATTCAAAACTTTGCAATCATGTATTGGTTTAAAATTAAGATAAGAGAAGAGCAGTTATATTTCATAATTTTTGTAAGGAATTCATAAAAGAAGTACTAGTACTGCTTTCAGATTAAAATCACTGGTTAAAATTAATAGACATCAACACTTTTTTGATGAAAATTGATGTTTATCACTAAAAACGCAATGCTCTCATTTCATAACATGCAATTCAATACATCTACAGTTCTCAAACCTACATAAGTACATCTAGTACAACTGATCACTGTCGCCAGACCTACTTAGGCCAACATTCCAGTGCTAGGTACATATTAACTGGCCAATAATACAGATTGACAAATAAGCAAGCGGGCGGTCAATTGTTCTCGCTGATTGTACGTGCGTGCTGGGAACTCGGTAATAATGAGCAATAACGGACCTCTGTAGTACATATCTACTTATTGTGTCATAGGATAAATGTAACTGGCCACTGATATCATTTTACTGGCTGTTTTATGGTGTAGATGAAAATATCCATATTCCCTTTTTAAAAAATCGATTTCGACTTAATTCTTGATTGGAACAGTTGATTGATGCAATAAATGTTTTTTGTGTATCAGACAGATAGATAGACTATATTGAAGAAATTGTTCTATATTTATGGTTCTATAGAAGAAATTGAAGTCACTGTGTTCCATAGATTAGAGATGATGCCACACTAGAGCGGTGACAGCACATCCCTCATTTTAATATCATAGCACTATGGACTTGGAAGATTAAATGTATACGAATTTCACATAATTTGCGTGTCCAAATTCTAATTTCGCCGACTACTTACTTCAAAACATTCACACGAGCAGTCATAACATACCTCTATAAAAGCCTCGACCTCCATGCTTCATGGTAAATCAACAATAATTGGGGCTTTCTTCAGCCATACCGTACGTTGAACCACATCGACACACTATACATACATATTTAGATACGTATGTGTGTAGGAGGGCGGCTTCCGGACGCACGCCATTCGATTCCCCGAAGAGGAAATCGTTACGGCCAGCAAATTGGACCCTAACCACTAGTTTGGACGGGCAACACGCAGATGTTCGCTTATGTAGTGTACAGCATGTATAAACAACTAAATTGACGATAATAGCTACTTATCCCTTCACTTTATTACATAGAATTTGGTTGCAACCTACATTGCAGTTGTGTTGTGGTTTTTGGTTTTGCTTGTATTTTTGGCAACCTATGTATTTAGTGCAAGTAATATTTTTAGTTATTTTTTTATTTGAATGTCAATCCGTTGTATTCAGACATAGTGCCAGTCTCATATCGTGAAAAAAATCAATGAAATAGACAGTAATTAATCAGTCATAAAACTAAATAAAAAAGTTTGACTAATCTATTAACTTGATATCGCCTATAAAAGTGCTCGTATCAATAAATATATAGAGGCATTAAATTACGAATATTGTTATTTCGTAAGCTCACAGATTTTGAAGTACACGTCGTCTAAAATGGGGCCATAAACAAATTCATAAGTAGGCTCTGTTCACGTTTTATGCTTTTTTAAGGGAGCCCCTCGAGGGCGCCGGTAAAGTGAAACGCGGCGTAAAACCTGCGGAACCCTGCTGAGAAACAAGGGGAAAGGGGACTTTTAAAATTTCCTTTGCTTTCTTAAAAGCCCTGGTTTTGAAAAAGAGTTAGTACCGTGAATTGTAATTCGGGTGAATAAACAGAACCCCTAAACGTTGGTTTTGTAGAATTGTTTTGAATAATACATAGGTAGGTATGTCGCAAAAGTATTTAACTGTAAAATAATTTATAAAAATAATCTAGAAGAGTGCCTCAGTTGCTAGAATGCATAATTTCCTACACACGTACGAATAAAAAGTAGCATTCTCGAAAAGGAAATTACATTTCATTGTCCATCCGCGCGCATGGAGAACAGACAAAATTTTTAATTCAAAACACACAGCAACCCATACGCATTAAAATAGGTTTAACCGCCAGCCGTTCCATTTTCAAAAAAATAAAATAAAACAAAAAGGCGCGTTCCCGCCATTTCTCCGGACCGCGCCGCAAATTCCAGTAGAAAAAATCGTATTTCGAACGCGGTTTGAATTTTAATTGACGTTGAGCCAACAGCGCGATCGGTGCGTTGGGAACATTTTCGAGTTTACATGTCGTTCGGATGGGGCGAGTTGGTTGGCCACAACATGTGCGCCATAAAAGTGACGCCACACGTCCGCAACCTCAACCTCCCTTCAGTGATGCTCACGTAAAAGTACTGCTTGTTAATCTTACAAAACAAGTTTTGATAAACGCATCTTTTGCTTAGTTTTATTAACAGTTAATATATCTCCTAAACATATTACGCAAAAATCATCGAATCACCTTAGATACAGAATTGTTTATATCATTTAGTTTACGCAACACAACATAACATAATGCCCGTCACATATATTTTACATGACTGTGTTACAAATAAACACACGATAATGAAATATCCATTCTATCTACATCGGAACATTACATTTTCATAATTTTCAGTGATGTTCATAAAAATGTAATAGCTTCATTGTCGTCGGTCACGTGCAACAGTTCATGGGGCCTCTAAATTACAATAAACAATTTGGTTCGCTCATTATTCGTGGGTTCATCACGGTTTTACGTACAAATTATCCGACAAAGCCGCGGTAATGTTGAATGTCCGCGGATAATTGCGAAATAACCGCGAGACAACCTTCTGCCGTTACATTTAATTTGGCGCCTCTCTATTTGCGGCAAATGAAGATGATTTGTCATTGCTCCGGTTTATATAGTGTCCTTAATTGAAAGACTGCAGTCCTTATACTACTAGTTGATGCATCGATCTTTTAACTGTTGTTGTTTCATTTATTTTAAAGTAAAATAGGGATATTTTAAACGCTTTATACTTACGTTTTTACTATAAGCTCAATATTCAAACAAATTTTTCAGTTGTTACAAATTCGAATATTTTAACAGTGGTTTACATTTTTCAGATAATATGCTGCTACTCTCAACATCCAGTGCAGCAATCATAAACAAGAATCTCCGCTTCAAATAATCCTGATGTGTTCTTAAAAATGACACATGCGGCGAAACGAAAGCCAAACACGTCCCGTGAATGATCAGGCGCCGGACAGCGTGGCACACACACAGCGATGCAAGAGATATGCAACACCGCTGCCTTGCCGCTCGACACTAACCCGCTGGTGCGCAAGATAAAATGCGAAGAGTTCCCCACTATCAGAGGGAAGCAACACACAAGAGTTGGTATGGGGGTGCGCGATGAAATGGAAGAGGACTTCGCGGTGAAGACGAGGAACACACCGCCAATGGGGCCGGCGCCGGGCCAAGAGCACCCACGCATGGAGCATGGGGGCAACGGCTTCTGGTTGGCCGCCGTCACCACCGCGGGAGCCCCACATCCTATGCTAGAAACATGTACCGAAACTGGCTTCATCAACAGTCAACCTTCTATGGCGGAGTTCATGACTGCATTACCTCAACTAGGTGGTGGGGAACTCAGCCCTCAACACACTCCCCCGGGTTATGCGCCCGACCTGCCGTCCCCTGGTGGCGGCCTCAACGTTCCAGAATATCCATGGATGAAAGAAAAAAAAACTACAAGAAAGAGTAGTCAACAAGGTACGTTATAAATTCTGTACTAATATGAATATGTGTATTGTGTAATCAGAATTAGACTTTCGAAAGCGCATATAACGGTCAAAAACATTTATCAGGCCCCACCATCGCGAGCGACCACCAATAAGAAAATGGCTGCTCTATCAAATGCGGACATTTTCGTTTCGTAAGTGCACCTAACTGCCGCGTGAATAACAACTTCTGAATTATTATTGTGGCTTTCAACGGCAACAACAAATGGCTATTCAACCATTGTATTCTGGTTCACGGTCCCAGAGTTTCTTTAATGAACATCAAATTACTCCGAAATATATTGAATTGTGTAGCGCGACGACGCCGACGTTTTGTGTCTGTAACTGTAGTTGGTTCTTGGTGTGGGAGTAGTATCGCTACGCGTCGGCAGAGGTATTATCCGAGCCACCGACCCGCCGCCAACATGCCGTGTAACGGAACGGAATACCCGACATGCACTATAACCACAAATTATAAGTGAGAACATTTTAAAACATAATTTTTACATGCTGACAAGCTTGTAGGTAAATAAAAGAATAGAGACCCGGGAACATGGGACAGGACAATATCCAGTGCTCGTTTGACGATTGCTCTAAATTATACCACGATAATTATAAATCACTGAATATGCGAAAACCGCAAAACTTATTTAATTTATCGGTACGTTGTTAAAAACACAGATCGACAGCAACTTCAATCTGCCTTCCAACTTTTATTATTATGTTTTCATAATAATCTAAAAACACGTTTTATCTCTCTATTTTCTATCAATTTAATGTAGAATATTTTTTTGTACAATTAAACGATAGATAAAAGACAAAGTGACCCCAAATTTGTCTCTGGGACAAAACGCGTGTTAGGGAGAACAATGAGTGGTGGATGATCCATCACCATCCGTCGTGTGAACCGACCCTCACCTGGTGAGCGATACATCATGAGGATGCGATACAAATTGCGACATATCTGTACTGATACCGACCTTTAGCTTGGGAAAATATTGATACAATTAGCAAAGGAATTACATTATAAGCGGATAAAAACATAACTAGGTACATACAAAGGTCTTTTACTTTTTTGCAACATTAAAAATAGCAAGGTTTACTATTTGTGAATATTTTTTACAATATTTTAGTAGGTGTAGACAATTTACTCAAAATTGGTTTTTAATACAAGCTCTAAATATTTTCAAATTAATAAGCAACTGCTTGATTTAATCACAAAAGAGCTATACAATAAAAACAAAGGAACAAAATTATACTGTGAATATTACCTTAGCAAAAAGCAGACACTTTGTTTACAAACCATAGAAATGACGTCTGTCAAGGCAAAAAGAGGATCAGCCTACCGGTGTGGGTTACCGACACTTCCAATTCTAGGAACCGTTGTAACATGAACTGATTACCCGTTCACCTTTCTATACATCACAAGACCAATCAGACGCGATGATTGTACACTTTCGTCTCGGTCGTTCACATTTGCGACCTTCCGAGTTTTTTGTACAAAAGTTGAGGAGTTTTACATCGTGTAATAGATAATATTTTCATATTTGAGGCGATTAACGCGTGGTGTACAGGAGCGATCTCCCGCGGGGCTCGCCAGGAGGTCCCGCCGACAAAACGCACGCGTTAACACGATTTTATGGACGCTACTTCTTCGCTAAGCGTTTTGTTCAGAGTAGTTAAAAAATCAGGACGGCTTTCCTTCAATTATATCTGTCTTCTTGAGTCGGTCGATCGTTTGGTAATGTTTAGTCTTTCTGCTGTACCCGGCGACATTTAATGATTACTTTAACTATTCTTTGGTAACAATTTTGTTCCGAAAATATTTAAATATATTGCTAAGGGCATTAAGTAACCATTATGATTAAATGACTCTGAGTATGGAGGTTCGATTTACTAATTTAAAGATAGGGAGGGATTACTATTCTAAGTTCTAATTTAAGGCGAGTACAAGGAGGTACTATGTTGTGCTGAGCGCAAGTCACTTGAAATAAGGGCAACAAGAAGAAGATAGGGACTTCGACACCAAGGCTACGAGTGAACTAATAAAATGAAACATTGAATGCCTGAGCCAAGAAATCTTTGATACAAATAGCTTTATCTTCATCTGGCTCCTGACCAAATGTAAAATTTAAACTTTTCTCTGTCTTTGCCAATAGAACGGAGTGCCGAGAGTTTGGAAGTATAAAACTCTTGTATTCATAGTCTCCTTTCATAACTGGTCTAGCAGACGTAACGTATATCGTTCTGTCTTCATAATAAGTTATTATTAATTACCGTTTTTTTTTAATTTTGAACTATCCTGGTTATATATATGGTTAATTCCTGGATCAGTATAATTCTGCAAATAACATGTGATATGAGTTAGAATTAACTGGACTCAAAGTCTAAAACGTTAATCTATGGAAATAAAATGAAGGTTTATAAAGTGAGAAAAAAGGAAAAAAAATGGCGGTACGAAGTTTGCCGGGTTAACTAGTACTTAGATATTATTGTGTAGAATGTCTAGATGTTACACAGTACTCGTTACACAAAATAATGTTAAAAATGTGTTTGGAACTTCAAACCAGTGTCTAAACCATTTCGACCAGTTGTTAATCGAAGCTAATGAAAAAAAAAAAATTAAGAAAACATAAATATATATATACCTACTAACGGAACTCCAGGAAAGATGTTAAAACAAAAAATATTTCCCAATGGATATTTAATACATATACGCAGAGTTCGTATAGCTATATTTCATCGCACATAATTTCCTTTCGTTGGATTAATCGCAATGATGACAAAGTACAACAGTACCTACTCTGTGATATTATTGCTGATATTATTAAACACAAACTTACTTACAGGCACCCTGATGATACCACTCCAAATATAAGTTTGCACAAACGTCTAGGGTTGCCTACTGCATTAGTTTAAATATTTTACCATGTATGGTATCAAAATATACTAAGTTAATGTATGCACGGTATGTTAGGAGTAACCTAAAATATAGAAAAGTTTAAGATCAATATTTTGCACTGGAAGTTGTAGTCGCAGCATCGTAGGATACGTGACGTAGCCGCTGCGTAGTGCCAAGTAGCTATCGTGTAGGAATGGAACTAAACTAAAAAACTAATTCACACTGTTATACTATTACTACATTTAGGATTTCATAAATGATTTACGTTACTCAAATCATTCTTAATAAACTTTGGAACGTCGTAACCTTTTTGTAAGCCTTCTGAATTTCTTGTTATTATATTACATCCTTGTCAGTTAATTTTTTTTCTCAAATTGTATCGTGTATGGACCAAAATGTCACATCTTTCTTCGTATGTAGATCTGTCGGCAGCCCTAGTCGCAAGGGCTGCAGAGTCGGCCGTGAACCGGCGCTACCGGGGTAATCCGTCACTGTCAGCGCTATCGAGCGATGCACGCCCGCGCGATGCACTGCCGCGCCGCGCGCCGCGCCATAACCGCCTGCCTCGACAAACGCTCTTGTGCGCCTAAACTTAGATATCGTCTTCACAAACTTCTACTTCTCTGCATCTATTTCCAAATACCGCATATCCGGCATTTTCAATACCGTTTCCTGATTTTTTTATTTGTCATTCAAGAGTCCATTTTTAGTTATAAAAGAAAACTGTTATGCAAAACGATTGTATTAACAGCGAAATACCAACAAAAAATTTAATTGTAAATTCATACTTATTTTTTGAAAAGAGTAATTTGCAGATATTATTTCATGGATTAAAAAAAACACGATAGTTTTTGGTTAGAGCCAAACATTTCCTTTGTTCGTGGATAAAATAACGGAACTGCTACAGCGACCACGGAGCACGGATAGAAGACAATTCTCAATAGAGTTTGGAGATAGATATACGTATTAGGGACATGAAACAAATTGTTCGCACAACCACGCCCCGGGCCGATCTCGGAGATCGAAATTAAAATGAACGCCCTGACACGATCGATCATTCCGATTCTTTAATACAAAGCCGCGTTATTTCTGCACTGTCTCAATTTGTTCAGACGATCGTGAGTGACGTGAGAGGCACTCGCGATTTCACGTTCCTTGTTCACTGTAATGACTTTTGTGTAACAAAAGGTTTTATTAAAATGTAAAAAATATGTGATATGTGTTGGACGGCAAGTCTTTAACACATCTCTAGTGTGTGAAAGACAAAACCACGATTATATTAATGAAAATGGACCATGGACCAATGTTGACTGGTTAACGATAGGAACATAAATAAATCAGTGAGTTTTTAGTACAATTGTTTTGTTTTATTGTTGATCATCAATCTTCCATATCAAAATGAAGAAGTCACCAAAATACATTACATTGTCAATCCAGAAGCCATACCTACGTTAATTCACGCCGTTTTATTCAAATGCTGGAAAAGAAAAAAATATACGGAACCAAAAGCATTACATCAAAATTGTAGCTACAAGCTTGGTCGGGTAAAAATCGCGTGCGTTATATTGTGTTCTGTAAATAAGCAGCTGAAATATTCACTGTAATACGAACCTATTACACATAATGATGATGGCATGGGAACTTTGTCATTCTGCCTGCTTACCGCTAACTAACATTTTTTGTTGGGCTCGGTTTTTTATTTTTTAAATTAGATATTCAGGAAATTTTTAACAAGTGATTCTTTTTTTGGAATCTTTTTACACTATGTTCACTTCGGGTGTTAGATGGTTGAATTTAAAATACAAAAATCAACATGCCAGTAAATACCTAAATAATATTTGGGTACATTACCTTAATCATAAGATATTATGAGAATGTTAAGGGAATCATTATTGTATACATTTTAAGCTATAAATTGTAATTAACTATGTATATTCGTTTGTACAACTAATAATCTACAATATCAATAAACATAAAAAAAGTCTCACAAACAATCAAAGATTTTTTGTAACAACTTTTGAGTACAACAGGTTCCCAACCCTCAACTACGCAAGGTGTGCAAAAATAGCGCCACTTTCGATTTCAATGCA